GTACATTCCATTCTGCTTTGGTTGGCGGCAGTAGTTCTGAGACACTGTTTTCACAAAGGGTGCTTGAAGGAGTCAGAGCATCTGTGTCCACTGTTAGCTTACTGCTGGGGGTCAAAGCTTGGGGCTCTTGACTCGAGTTTTTCATAGCCAAAGAGCCCAGAGATGCCAATGGCCCCACACTTAGACTTGGAACATCATCCATATCTAAGGGACTCTGCTGAAAGCCAGAGGCTGTCGTTCCAAAAAACAGAGAGGTATCCAGACTTTGAGGAAGGTCACTGGTGGCCATCAAGGCCCGAGGGTCCACAGCCTGCCCCAAGGAATTATTATTATTAGCAGGGAGGCTTCCTGCCAGAGTTGAACTCACAGAAGCCACATCAATAGTTAAGATTCCAGAGTTCACCAATGCTGTGTCCAGCACTGCAGCTGAACTACTGCCAGGCACATCAGAGAAGAGAGACACTAGCTCTGCATCACTGAGATCACTCTGTCCCTGGCTGGTAAGTTCACTGCTGGGGGTAAGAGAGTTTGCAGCTTCTAGCTGAGCTAAGAGATCCTGGCCGAGGTTGTGCCTTTTGGCCATGTGGGTCTTCATGCTGTGCTTGGATGTGAAGAGTTTATTACAAGTAGAGACTGGGCAACGGCTTTTCCAAGTGTCCACGTCCTGCAAGTGTTTCTTGGAGTGAATGTAAAGACTACTGCGAGCAGAGAACCTGGCACAGCAGCCTTCCACAGGGCACACAAATGGCTTTGTGCCCAGGTGGGTTATGCTGTGGCCTTTCAGATGCTCAGCCCTTGTGAAAGATTTCCCACAGCCTTCCACAGGGCACATGAACCTCCGGTCATCCTCGTGCTTCCTTTTGTGCCTTAAGAGTTTGGACATGCTGGTGAAGTTCCAGCCACAGCCGTCAAAGTCACAAAGGAAAGGTCTCTCACCGGTGTGGCTCCGCAGGTGAATTTTCAGGCGACAAGCCTTGTCGTACTGTTTGCTGCAGCCAGGAAAAGAGCAGGAAAAAAGTTCCTGTTCCCTGAAATGGGCACGGTTATGGGAAAACAGGGCACTCACTGTGATAAACGTCTTCTTGCAGCCAGAAAACGCGCACTGGTATGGCCTCTCGGGCTCGAAATGGCTGCGCTGGTGGGCGCTGAGTTTGGCCTGAGTGGGGAAGCTCTCCTCGCACACCTCGCATTTGAACGAGTTCTCCTGCTCATGGCCCTTCATGTGTGCCTTGAGGTTATAAACCGTGGTGAAGCTCTTGCCACAGCCCTCTGCAGGGCAGCCAAAGGGCCGCAGTTTGTCGTGCGACTGCAGGTGCCTCTTGAGCTTGTAGGAGGTGGTGAAAGTCCAGCCACAGCCGCCCAGGGGGCACTTGAAGGGCCGCTGGCCCTGGCTGCTGCTGTGAGTCAGCAGGTGCACCTTCAGCTGGTGCTTCTTGGCGAAGGTTTGTCCGCACTGAGCCTCGGGACACAGGTACAGCACCACGCCCGGGCCTGGGCCCAGCGGCCTGCGGGGGGGACTTTCGGCTGCGGCCCGGCCCTCTGCCTCCTCCTCAGGCGCTGGGGCCGGCGCGGGTTCAGCCGACTCGGCCAGCAGGAGGTCGGGCGGCAGCTCTGGGCAGTCGCTGGCCTGCGCGGCGTGCGGGACGCCCGCTTGCGGAGCCATCAGACCCCCAGGCTGAGGGGCAGGCGCGACCCCAGGCTCCCAGGCTGGCGGCGGGGGCGTGGCCAGGGTGAGGACACCGTTCTCGAAGCGCAACAGCAGGTTTTGGTTGTGGATGGTGACCGTGCCCGTGAAGGCCGCGGCGGGTCCCAGGCCTGGGGCGGGGATCGGGTTCTCAGCCGGGGATGGGGCGGGGACTGCGGACTGGCAGCCAGGGCCTAGCGCCTGGCGGCCCGCGGGATTCGCGCCACTCTCACCCTGCTGGAGCTGTGGGACCGACTCGGCCTCCTCCCTCCATACAGGCCCTGCGGCCTGGCCGGCGCCCGTGGTCTCCACGTCGCCACCCGCCGGGTCCAGCAGCACCAGGAAGAAGTCATCGCTGTCGCCGCCGCCAGCGTGATCCAACCTCGGGGCCAACGGGCTCGGGCCCGGGCCCCGTGAGGCCGTGCGGGCCTCCTCGTGCCGCCTCCCCGGCCCGCCATCTTGGGGGCCCCGGAGCAGCAGGAGGCGGCGCGCGGGGACCTGGCCAGCCCGCGGGTCAGGGCCGCCGTGGAACCGGCTGGCGCCCGCGGGGCTGCGAACACCGCCGCTCTGTCGTGTCCCACCAGCCGGGAGCAGCCTCGGGCTTTCCATCTCCGCGTCGGTGAGGCTCCACTGGAACCAGAGCCGCGGAGGAGGCGCGACCCCGCCCCCTGCCGCGGGCCTGAACACGTTCCTGAAAGGAAAAAAAAAAAAATGTGCAATGCGCAGAAACTGGCCCTATCAGATATTAAAACGTGTTTAACGACACAGTGATTTAAATATTCTGGTACTGGGTCTCTGGGACAAAATACAAAGCCCAGAGGCAGAACCTGGTATGCACAAATAAGTTCTACATCTGATATTTGTGGGAAATCAAGGAAGTCTTCCCAGATAATAAGGAAATGAAAGTTCATTCGGTAAACGGTGCTGGAATACCTAGCAATCTATCTGCTAAATGCAACTTAAATCTGTACATCACTGTATATACCAAAATGAACACCCCACCTCCTCCCAGTGCTAAGCGTGGTGTTTAAAGAAAAAAAAATTGTTTACTGGATGGCTCCCTGGCTGGCTGCCTGGCTGGATTTATCAATCCAGTGAGAGAAAATTCCTGGGACAACGCGCTATGTGTCAACATTGAACTACCACAGTGCTAGTAAATTCTACTGAAAATGATGTACCCCCCCCACCCCAGACAACTTCCATATCCAGAACTGTCTTGAGCAAGATCCTCAGGAAAATTTGTTTTATACTTATTTATTTATTTTGTTTTGCCTGCTGGTACAGAAATTAGAATAAATAAGAGGTGGGGCCAAAACGGATTACCACTGTTCAGCCTAGAAGTTCAAAGCCTGGAAGATGAAACAATTTATATTGAATCCTAGAAAACCCTACCCACCCCTGGGCTTTTCCAAGACAGTGCACAACCTAAACCAACTCTGCCATTACACCATGGTAAATTTCATGTCCAATCCCACAGCATTCCTCAGCTAATTCTAGATTCTCCAGCACATGGAGGTCTCTGGACAAGACTACCAGGTAAATGTGACAAGATTAAACCCTAAGTCACCGTTATGGACTCTGCTGAGAAAAATACACATATGACCATGTTCAATAGTCGTGGCGTGCCTGCTTGCATTTCAGTGTCGTGGCCCAATCTTACTGTAATGGATATGGCCTGTGATGCCTAATGATTGTATTAATGATGTTTGCGATCTTCCGACTTGTCTGTCATCTGTGATTTGGAAAGTGATATGAATATAGGGTGAAATATCTAGCAAGAGAAAGGTTGAGAGTAGTAACTAAATTATGGGGTGCATATAGTTTAAATAAATCTCCACTTTCCCCCTTTCTAGTGATAATGTATATTTGCAGATCACTTGATAGGAAAAAAAAAATTTTTCATCCCTATTAGGGATCTAAACCTCATCAAAATTTTTCCTTCACGTATTTTCCTTCCATTACATTTTTTGAAGGAAACCATTTTTGAAATCTGAGATATAGAGGAGTTCATAAAACATATCTACCAGGTTTAGATAACTTATAAAAACAAACACCCATGTAACTAGGACCGAGGTCAAGAAATAGACCACTGCCAGGTTTCCAGAATGCAGACACTGTGTTCCTCCCAATCACAGCCCACACCCTTCCTTATAGATATAGTCATTGTCCTGACAATGTGATGATTTCAGAGCTCTTCTTATAGCTTTACCATTTTTCTACACATCTCTAGATAATACAGTTTATATATACGAGTTATAAGTGGAATTGCATGCTTCCTTTGATGGCTTTTTTCTCTCACGTTGTATCATATGATACGTGTGATTTGACAGACTCATCCATGTTGTTCAAGGTAGCTGAAAATCCTTTGTCTCCATTATTGACTAGCGTTCCAGTGTATAGTTTTAGTGAAGTGATTATGTTATAATTATACTTACAGTTCTACAGTGGATGGACACTAGGGTTGTTTCTAGTTTTTGACCACTATGAACAATGTTGCAGTGAACATTCCTGGAAATTTCCCATGGAACACATGTGTAAAAGTCTCTTGGGTATACCTCCAAAACCACATTCACTTGGATATGGAGTATGAATATCTTCAGCTTTTCTAGATGATGCCAAATTGGTTTCTGTAATAGTGACAATTTACACTCTCTCAAGTAGCATAGAGCTCCTGATGCTAGACATCTTCACCTACATGTAGGATTGGCAGAACTTTTTTTTCCCCCACTATTACTGTTCAGCTTTTGCATATTCTTATGTTAATGAGCCTTTTGGATTTTTTTCTTCTGCGAAAGGACTGTTCAAGATTAATTCTGTCAGCCATCCTTCTATTTTCCATCTATACCTACTCATTTATCGAGTTATTTATGTGTTTTAAATACTAGTCCATTGATTATATGTGTGGTCAAAATATTCCCTTGCTTTGTTGCTTGAATTTTCACTTGATTTATGCTATGCTTTGTGAACAGATGCTATACAGTCAAATTTATCATTCTCTTCTTTATTATTAGTGCTCGTCTGTTTTTAGAAATCTCTCCCTTTCCTGGGGCTATGAACATATTCTCTGTATTATCTTCTAAAATATTTATGACTTTACCTTTCACAGGTAGGTCTTAATCTCCCTACAGGTGATGTTTATGTATGATACTGAGTAGGGTTCTGATTTCCTGCCCCCCCCATTGGTATCTGATTGTCTCAGTAAACCACTTTTGAAAAGTCTTCTCTTTTCCAACTTATTTACAACAACATGGTCATAAATCAAGTGTCTACCTATGTATGGGCTTATTTATTTATTTGAAATACCATATATCAGTATTAATTACTACAGATCTGAAGTCAATCTTGATATATGGATGAGACCAGTCCATTCTACTTTGTTCTTCGAAGGTGTCTTGTTATTTTTTAGCCTGTTTTGACTCCATTTAAATGATCAATTCACTAGAAGTTCAACTAAAAGCTTGTTTGAGATTTTAATTAGGATTGTGTTGAACTTTAAGATTTAATGTCTTTTTAATATTGAATGTTTGTTTCACGGATATGATCTCTCTTTTTAATAAAATAACTCATTTAATATTCCAATAACATTTTGTGTATTTTCCATAGGAAGACATTTTCATCCTGGTACTTCATATTTTGCAAATACCATCTTTGACATTTTCACTTTCTAAATTTTTTCCCTGGCAAATAAAGTATAGTTGGTGTTTGTATGTTGATTTCTTTAGGCTATAAACATCTAAACTCTTTTGTTGATTCTAATAACTTGTCTATAAATACCAATAAGGATCTAATGTACGGAATCATAACATCTGCAAATAATCCCAGTTCTATTTTTTTTTCCTTTCGAAGGAATTTTTTAATCTTTTTTCCTCCCTTCCTGCTCTCTCTAGGTGATGGTGGACATCGTTATTTGGTGCAGCTCTGAAAGAGAAAGGTTTCAGTAATTCTAAGAGTGGTATTTCATATAGATGTTGTGTTCTATTGCAATCTGGTCCAGTCAAGAGGTAGAAAGTGTACAGTGGACAGGAGAAGTTTAACATCAAGTTAAGCTATGAGAATTGTGTAATATATAGGATATGAGAAAACTGTGTATGGTATTCTGGGGCTGAGAGAGAGTACTCGAGGATACACAAATTTGAAGTGGGGGTGGCCCTATCAAAGGCTGGGGTTCACACCTCACTGGAGAAAGTATAGGAGGACCTATTGCATGGCAGAAAAGTTTGTTGGTTTGTGGGCACCAGAGCTGGTTTGCAGAACTAGAGCTGGTCTACAGTTGCAAGGCGAGCAGGAAGCAGCTCTCTGGAACACATAGGTGTGGACAAGCAACAACTAGTGGTCAGTGTATGGACATGTAGTAGGAATAGGGATGCTGGTGGAGTTGGAGGCCCGGAGCTAAAAATGTCCTGCGCACAGGATCAGAAGGACAATGGTGTTGGAAGGGCTAGAGCACTGGGAGAACTACAGATGATAAACTTGTTGGGCAGGGGACGGGTAGGGGCCGTAGAGAAAGCAAGCAGAGAGAATCAGTGGGCAGGTAGTTTGGAGCACAAGATGTCTCTGTGAAGAAAGCCATAGAAAGCTGATGAGCCGGCCACACCAGGACTGTACATTCAATGAGGACAGGTGTTCTTGGCTCATGCCTGGGGCAAAGCACTGAGGATATCCTCACACACACACACACACACACACACACACCTCTGAGAACCAGAAAGAAGAGGAGAGGTACTTTCTTCAATGTCCCTCCAGTGTCTTCTACTGAGAAAATATAACATTGTGTCACTTAGAAGGAGAGATACTTAACGAATTGTGTCTACTATCAGAGAGTATGTTTTGATGGGCAAATTTGGAGTGGAGAGGCAATACATTAATAATTGGCTTCAGGGGCTCCTGAGTGGCTCAGTCCATTAAGTGTCTGCCTTCGGCTCAGGTCATGACCTCAGAGTCCTGGGATAGAGCCCTGCTTTGGGCTCCCTGCTCAGCGGGGAGTCTGCTTCTCCTTCTCCTTCTGACTCTCCCCCTGCTCATGCTCTCTCTCTCTCTCTCTCTCTCTCTCTCTCAAATAAAAATCTTTTAAAATTAAAAAAAAAATGGTTTCATGTCCTTTATCAGTTTAAGGGATTCGCTTCTATTAGTGTGCATGAACAGCATGCAAGCTACCTGCCAAGTTTATCGTTAGCTCACCCAAGGAATAGAATCATCCTGTTATTTTTCTGGTAAATTAATGCTTGATGCAGCAGGACTGGCAATTTCAGGAGGTTCAATAGATTGCTTAGGATTCTTGGTGGACCCAGGGTTCCCTGGCCTGAACTGAGTTTTGCTGCAAAACCCAGGCTCTGGCACAAAGGGTTGTCATGGAGCTAGGGCAGAGAGCCTATGAGTCCTGCATTCTAGTCTTACCCAGGGCTTGTCTGCTCCACCTGCAAAGAGAACCTTGGTATATGGTGAGATTGCCTCTCTCACCACAGTGTTGTCCTTGAGAAAAGAGTACTTTATACCTTAAATGCTACTCTGCATTCCTGGTGGCTGCACTTAAACTAAACAAGGAGAGAACATGCTTGGATTTCATTTAAAATCATACCCAGGGGTGCCTGGGTGGCTCAGTGTTAAGCGTCTGCTTTGGGCTTA